CAGGTTTGGTGAATTTGATCGGTTTTGCTACTTAAACATACTGAATTTTTTATTCTGCATTATAAGATGTTTGCTTCTTCACATTTTTTCCTTAAGACATCCCTCCATCAATCTATCCTCCATAACCACCTCCCCAGTACAGGGTCTCATTGCCTCCTGCACCAGACAAAAACATGTCTCACTTTCTTGTTTGCTTTCTCGATGGCACAATGAGTTCCCAACCTACATCCAGTCAGCTGAGTCCCTCACAACCTTCAAGAAACATCTCAAGATGTCTTTTCAGGAACACTTTGACTAATTAACCCTACCACTGACCTTCTCTCTATCTTCATTGACCATTCCAGTGCTATGCTCTCAGCAACATGCTCTTCTCTGCTGTTTTGAAGCTGTCCTGTGTTGCCTGGTATTTTGATCTGGATTTGCATTTCTGGTGATCTATCAAAGACCTGTTGAACCTCTGCTCTAATGTTAGCTGGTGATTGGTTACTCACTGGAAGCTCAGCCTAACGGCATTCATCCCCAAGTCGGCTCCTTGACAGATGTTTGCCTGTAATTTTCTGCCTTGCTTGTTCGTCACTTTGAACAAAAGTTTCAGCTTAATGAATAAATATAAATGTCTCCTGTCCTTCACAGGACACAGTCACACATACTGTGAGCAATATAGACACCAGTTCTCTTTCTCTCATGTTTCTAGCTGTAGGAATAAACCCAGGTAAACACAGGGACGCCAAGTCCACACACACAATAAAAGAGGCAGCAATCACGCTTCAACCATTGAGATGTGAGGCCAAAGTGTCCCCCCCCCCAATGCGCCAATTTGATCATTGCTTCATCATTGTCTTCAGAAAATGCTAAAAGTGCAAAAGCTGTAAAAAAATGTAAGAATAACTATTATTGTTATTATTATTAATTCTCCATGACAGAAAACAAAATTCACCCATGGGGATTTATAATGCACTATTATTTTATTAATAATGATAATAATGATAATAATAATAATAATAATAATAATAAATGGCTCTGTTCATAATCTGGCAGTTGCAGTTTCTATCGTTGCAATGCAGAGAACAGGAGGGAAATGAAAGAAAGCACAGTCCCAGAAACCTTTTCTCTGGATAAGAAAGAGGAACACAGACGGCAGTGTGTGCAGAAGTCCATCCCATGACCTGCTAGGGCAAGATAAAGTGGGGACAGCCTCCATGCGCAGGGAGCGCAGCGCACGCCAGAGGGCCGTGCTCAGCCAGGGGAAGAGCCTTGGTGTACAGGCCCTCAAGAGTGGGAGCAGGACCGGGAGAATCTCCCCCCAGCACATTGGTATCGAGGCCCGGAGTTACACAGGACTGAACACAGACCTAAAACATTCTTAAAGAGACAGCAACTGATGCTCTAATGCTCTAAACCGTATACAGTTCCTACAATAGTGAACCTCCACATTGCTCTAATAGTTATATTCGTTTATACTGCTTTGCTAAATTGTCATAAAATTGCTGATTTACATATAACTGTTGTTGTTGCTACTACAGTGGTACCCCGGTTCTCTAACTCACTAGAACTCAAATTTCTTGAAAGTCGAACAAACCAGTTTGACCTAGAACTCGATCTGAATATCAGAAGTCGAACCATGAACGCTGAATTGTATAAATTGTATGCGCACGGCACGTCTCTGAGCGGAAACAAAAGTTAACGCTTCAGTGTCAGCCTCGCATTTGCTGTAGTAGCAGCGCTTGTTGGTGATAATGCTATTTTATTGAAAATACTGTATCAGGTAACACTGTACTTTATTGGTGCATTCCATTTGCCCTCGGAACTCGGATTCCGAGTCGAATTCCGAGTTTTGAAGCCGGAAGTGACAACATGCGCGCTCCCAATCTTGCTGTTTCATATGGGTCCATGGTATTGCTACTTCTGTGGCAAATGGAACGTATCCGACTCGGTTTTTAGCGGATGTGACGTAATATCAGAATCCGAAAATCGGATCCCGAGGCAAATGGAATGCAGCATAAGCCAGCGCTGTTGAACGCACCCAATGACCGGACTGGGGAAACAAACTGAAACGCGGACTTAATACAGAGGACTAATGACAACAACCAGAAACAACTGATCACATGGGGATCCCACAGGAGGTTAGCGAGGGGGCGTGGCACACGGAAGGAGCGGACGATCTGGGCAGGACAGGGATAATGTTGGGATAAGATCTTTATCGTTTTGGAAGCCATTAAGAAAAAAATGCTCTTCTTGTTTTATCCTGTTCATTTTGTGTTTATAATGCTAAATTTTTTTAAAATATTTAGGTGTAATTTTGGGGGGCCGGGAACCAATTAATTGATTTTCCATTATTTCTTATGGGAAAAATTCGATCAGAACTCGAACTTTTTAGGATTCGATCCAGAGTCCGGAACGGATTAAGTTTGAGAACCGAGGTACCACTGTATTATTATTATCATTAAGATTATTACAATTATTATTATTTTACGTACAACCATGTATGCAGCACATAGTTTACATTTTTTGTGCAGTTAGGGGGTTAGATCTTAGGAGGCCAGCTGCAAATGGACACTGCTTTTTATTATACATAAAAACATGAGAAGGTTTCAGCTGTAAGAGCTGGGAGAGGTGACCGTACACCGTGCAGAGCTTGAGGCCGTGGGCTGTGGATGGCTCACATTTACGCCCATCATCATTCACACTTTCAGAAGGACAGAGCTTTTGTTAACCTGCACGACTGAATGAAAACTTCAAGATCCAACACCAAAGTGCAGAGGTTTCCAACAGACACATGAAACAGGCCGTCGTCAGATACTCTGTAAGGCATGAATGAATGTGTGCAAGAATGATGGACTGGGGTGGGGGGGTATTAATTCTTCCTTTTCCAAGGGAGGACACCCCTTGAATATTTTATCTGTAGCTTGGAGAGGTTGATAACATTGACATTTTGTCACCCCCCCCGGGTGGTTATGGACCCCCAGTTAAGATCGTGTGGTTCAGAGCATGATTTGATATCCAATTTAGTATGAAGACCATTGAGAATTATCTAACCCCCCCAGTGCCCAAAAGGGAGTGAGCGTCTCATTAATTGAATGGCTTTCTCTTGTCTAAATGGATGATAGACACTTGTATAAATAAAAGAACGACTTGACATTGGTTGATAACCCCTGTCAGGTCAGCATCATGATAGGCAGCCGTCCTGTCAGAGCCCCTTCCGGCAGCATGGCTCCACATCGTCTGCCTGTGCCAGGGGGCTGTCTCAGCGGCCATGTTCGCCCCCAGCCCAGAGCCTAGTGCATGCACCATATGTCTGCCCACCCAGTGTGGTTTCCACACCTCTAATTCCGCTCTCTACATTCATTCCAGGAGCCAAAACGCCGAGAAGGCTTCTGCGGGCCCACGCACCCCCCGACGCACCGCACCCTCCGGCCCGGGACCCCCCGGTGATTTGGGAGCTGTTCTAGCCAGCCTGCATTCCCCATCCAGGCCAGCCCTGCCTGCTCCACACGCCGATGAAGATCAGAGAATCCTATAATTGGTTCCTCAAGCCCGATTCCTTATCTCAGCTGTTTTCTTTTTTTTTTTTTAAACATCTGCCTCTGACTCTCCTGGCTTCTGTCCTTAATCCGACTTGTAATTCTGACTCACCAAACTGCTTTTTCTACTCCCGTGTCCCCTCATGTCACCCTCTGCACATATATGTGGCTGGACATGCCCCCCCCCCCCACTGTGCTTGTGTGATGTGAATTTGTCGCAGGTAGCATTAAAAAAAACAACACAGAGGCTTTTGTTAAGAGTTTAACAATGTGCCGATTCTATTGCTGCTTTTGGCTACGGGCCGTGTTTTTTGCTGACAGATATCATCCCTGCAGTCTGCCAACTGGACATTACAATTGTCATTGTGTCTGAGTGCTAAGATGAAACATTTGTGGGGGGAGACAACACAAATGGCTTTAAGAGATCAAAATAGGGGGTTGCCATGATAACCGCCACAAGCATGGGGAAGGAATCAAATCCATTATTTTCAGACGTGAAACAAACTCATATTAGGGCCACAGAAACACTCCCCCCCCTTTGTGAAATCAAGCAATCAAGCCAAAGACTGACTGATGTGGGAGAAGATCCTCATATGCAGCAGATCAATAAAAAAAAACATGAGCTTATCACTCGTTGGAGGGGGGATGATGTCCAAAATGGCAGGAAAGAGACACATTTACAACATCCCCCCCAGAGCAAGAGTGGAGCTGTCTCTGTAACCACTCTATATGGGTGGAGCTTACGTTTTATTGAATCCTTTGCACCCGTTCCTATTAACAAGTCAAGGTACTGGGAGCACACTGGGAACATCAATGACCAGCTGATTAGAGTCCGAGTCCTGCTGTACTGTGTAACATGTAAGAGCAGCTATTCTCATGGATTACCAAAAGACAAACTTTCAGACCAAGAGGCTCATTCGGGTCCCCAAGATATCACATCCAGAACCAGAACAAGCGCATCTTTACACATTCAGCAAAACACACTTCACAGATGCTCCATGGGAGGGTTACAGTGATATCAAAAAGGTCCCCCCCCCACTCACCCACCCACCCAAAAGTAAGCCTGGGCACCAATGGCAGGTCCCACGTTGGTTGGGGGAGAGGATGACCTCAGCACTCATCTCGATGACGAAGGTGCGATCCTGAGCGACGGCTGGGATTGGCTCATGCTTAATAGTGTCGTGAGAAGCCTGTCAAATCGGGATCCAGCTCCCACACGCACTGATGGGTTCCTGCATCCTGCCAGTCCAGGCGTCTCATTTAATGGCCGACTCAGTTTAACAGCCACATTGACAAAGTCCCAGGATGTGAAGAGGACAGTATTAAAAAAAATAAATAAATCATGTGACCTCATTTGGGAGCTCTGCTCCATAAGTAACATCTACAGTTCAACAACTTCACATGCACACAGATCAGGTATTATGTGAGCCTGCATGGAGACACCATTGATCATCAGACCCAGAAAAGGAGGCGCTGAAGTCCCATACCCTTCCACCAAAGTCATTTTATTTTCCCCAGCCAAAATTAAAACTTTTAAAAAGTAAATTCAAATGTCAGAAAACTACATAATACCTGCTATTTAATACTATGGCTGGCAAAAGTAAATGTTTTCTCACAGGATAAATAATAATAATAATAAAAAAAAAGACATAAGACAAGATTTTTTAAAAAATTGATCGTAAGTGACAGATGTCAGCATCTGTAACCATAGTAATCCACAACTGCAAATTCATAGTGAGCGACTTCATGATTCCTATTCCCATCCTGAGGGGGGAGACGACGAGTCAGCATGACCGATGGGACGGGAGGCAAGGAGCAGGAGCAAGGCCAAGTTCACAGCTGCGGGGGGGAGGATGTGTAAAGCAGGCCGTACTGATGTACTCTGACGGGGGCTTCTCACGCCGAGGGAAGGGGGGACAGCGACGGGGAAGGAAGCCTTAAGCGGCCGACCGCCGGCGGATGATGAAGGCCCCCCGCTGCAGCTGGCCCAGGTAGATCCTCATCTTGGTGCTGTCGCTCGTCTTCCTCACCCAGATCTGACACAGAAATGCAGGTAGGAGTGCACTGCCCACCGAACGACAGGCTTAGGACCGGGGCGACCAGCAAACACCTCCTCACCTCATTCGTCCCCACCGAACTGATGACGCAGCTTATCTTGGCGTTCTCCTTGGACTCCAGGTAGATAGCCTGGCTCTTATGGTACCTGGAGGAGCAGGAGAGAAAAAAATAACACAAAAACCCGTTTGAAGATGCTTATCGGGACCGATTGTAGATGGGGGAAGACTCGAGTATAAAGGGACACATGATCCCCTCAAACAAACACACCCCCACTTTGCTGCACGCCCCCCCCCCATTCCCCCATCGCAGTTATCAGTTCATTCAGCCCCAAGGGCTGGATCCCCATCATCCAAGAGAGACACGTCTCCCTCTTTGGCCCGGAAACACACCAGACGCAGTCTCCACACCTCAACCACATTTGTAACCGTGCCACAGTCGACAAAATGGATTAAGCGGAGTTGCCAGGCTGTGCGCCAACAGCCCTCTCCCTCAATATCGGCGTAGTCATATTCTGAAGCCACATTATCGGCACTTATTGAAGACACTTGTGATCAACGGCGCTCCGAGGCTTTTCTCTTTTTCCCCCCCATTTCCTAAAATAAGTGCTTAATTCTGCACAGCGGTCGCAAGCTCTTCAGGTCAATGTCTTTTCCCCAGCTGCAAAATCTCATCAACCAGAAAACACTGATCATAATCTGCTGTTCAGAACTAGCAAAGCATTATAATCCCTTCATACACGGAAGAGCTGGCAAGCCCTGTTGCCTGGTGCATGTGCAATAATCTCAGTGTTGAAAAGACGAAAGAGGTGATAAAGGAGTTCAGAAGCACAAACACCCTCCACCCGCATCTCACAATTGATGGTGCAGCTGAAGGGGGGGGGTTCCTGGGTGTCCACATCATGGGCAGCCTTACTTGGTCCCTAAATAAAGCCTCCCTTGCCAAGAAATCGCTGCAGCATCTACACTTTATAAAGAAACTAGAGAGTGCCAAGCTCCCGGCTCCAATCCTCACCACCTTCTATAGGGTAACTATTGAAATCCTGTTATCCAGCTGCATCACTGCCTGGTACTGCAGCTGCGAGGTTTCAGACTGCAACACACTGCGGCGGATAGTGAGGGCAGCGGAGGTGGTCACTGGGGTGCCCCCTACATGCCCTGAGGGATATTTACCACGGCCGCGCTAGCAAAATCGCGGAAGACCGATTCCACCTTCCACATGGACTTTTTTCTCTCTTGCCGTCTGGTAAACGGTATCGAAGCAGGCGTGCTGGTTCCACCAGATTGTGTAACAGCTTCATACCACAAGCCGTCAGAATTCTTAATGCAAATTCATGTTAAAATCTCTGCCTAGCCAATTACCATTCTAGCACGCTACCTCACCATGCACTCCACAATAATTCCATTACAATGGCACTTACACTTTACCTACTGTCTATTACTACCATTACAACAGGCAGAGTTATGTTCTGGCAATGATAACTCTATGCTTACTCAAAGGCTGCCAAATCACTCCGTGTGTAGTATGTACGGTCACATTTCATCTCATCTACAGTGTATAATGTCAGATGTGTTAACACTCAACCGATGCTACAATATTTGCCTTGCATGCAATAACCAATATCCATCATGCTGCTAGATGGTTCTCTGACACTTACATTATGCTGGTTATATTTTAATTTGTTTGCAGAAAGTACCTCAATACCCCACAGCCCTATATTATTATATTGTTGCACTGTTTAGTGTCTTTATCATTGTTGCACATTCTGTTTTGTTATATGGTGATGTATGTTGCTTCGCAGTCCATGGAGAAACGTTGTCTCATCTCACTATGTACGTGTCCACAGCTGTTGATGACAAAGTAACCTTGAAACAGTTTTTTTTCCCAAAAGCTAATGGCACCATCTAGTGGTAAGTGGTAGAATCGCATCCAAAAATCAACTGTGCTATTAAACCCTCCCAAAATGACATAAGTATACATAAATAAAATATGCAACAATAAATACCTACCATCTTTTGTCATAGTAGAGCTTTCCCTCCTCTATCCGGGCTTCATATCGTTGGGACGGCGTCTCCAGGGGTGTGCTGGGAAGGTGCTCTGGGGACGAGGGCGAAGCTGGTGCATGGAGGTGCATCCGAGCAGGAGAAGTTAGCTTTGCGAGCCCCAGGAGGCTCTCCGGAGGCCCGAGGAGCAGTGCTGGCCTGCTAGTCACCCCAGGGCACTTTACTTTACTCTGCCCTTTGATGTGATGCGAGCCTGAAGCATCTGGACTTCATAGGAAGGGGGTATGTTCTGTTCTGCCATACAGTCTGGTTTATTTTAATGATTCATTACAGAGACTTCCGTGTCATGCTTCAGGTTGGGAGGGTGGGGACTGTTCTAAGAGCATACGCACATTTAGCCCGGTTGCCTCTTATCGTGTCCGAGCACTATTGTCCCCCCCCCCCAGCCCCAATGGTCTGCTCTCACATTGTGCTTAACGTTCCGGGCCAGAGCGCACTTTTATCATCACTGTGCGACTTTTTGTGTTGAAGAAAACAGGAAGAAAAGCGCTATCGCACAGCACAATGGAGTTTATCATTAATGTCCTTATTTTGTGGCTTATATGAAGTCGGGCGCAATGACACATGGCCCACTTCTAGATTTATCGAATGTGCAACGAAGTGATTTTCACTTAATTGTACTGCACACATAAAGAGATAAGGGACTATTTTACCAGATATCTCAAAGTTTTTGTGTACTGCATCGAGTTGATCCCAGATACTCAGCCTAAATTTCCAGCAAAAACACTGCTGTGGACCAAAGTGATCCCTTAGCCACAATGTTTATTAATTATTTGTCGCTACCCAATCTGTACAGCCTACCAGATTTGTTCCTTCCAGGTCCAGTTCTTGAATACCGTAAATGTGTGCATGAGTGTGACAGTCGCATCACCGATGTTATGTCTCACATCCAAGTCCAACTGAACCATGCCCAAGCCTACCTCTTCACCCGAGCCCAGGCATGGTTTTGTGAGCACGCCACAGAGCGAACACACTAGGCAAACAAACTAGACTATGGGGTCAAACGTGCTTGGGCACCGTACAGATTGCCTAGAGTAAGTAAACCTACAGTGGTGGCTTTAGCCAAGCTACCATTCACCCACAGCAGAAATGCTTAACAGATAAATTTAAAAATCAAATACGTACCTGGACGCTTGGGCGATTTCAGCTGGGGGGGAGGTATACATAAATATCAGTTCTGGAACATTTGCTAGAGCTCAAACAAACCTCACTCACATTGGTTGTCAGATCTAAGATGAAGATCGATTCCCCAACCTTGTTAAGCATGCGAAGGTCCTCCATTATCTGCTCCTCTGTGAGCAGGTAGTTTAACTGAGGTGCAGGGGGTCAAGGCAGAAAACTGGACAACCATCAACAATGTCTGAATGGATCTGAACATAGATGAAAACACCAGTGCAATCTGCCGGCCAGAGACGAAGGATATCTGGAGCGGGCTTGCGCCTTTTGTCCGGGATTGGAACTGGGTCATTGGGTCTCCTCCTTAGCTTTCTGGTCATGATTGGCTTCACTTCCATGGAATCTAGGTAGAGGAACAGGAGAGGTTAAGAACCAAGGGGTACTGATGAAGGACTACCAGCTTCTATGGTCACATGTAAATCCACTCTCATTCACAAAAAACTTATTCAGCATTTAGAGAATCCACATTCCGACAAGATCTACTCAGCAAAGCCTTCAAATGCCCACCTTTTAATTGGGAAAAGCTCATTAATTCTAAAAGACTTTGAGACCATGTTCTTTTTAGCAGAAGAACCTCACTGACAGCAGAAACAGACTACATCTAGGGCAGCTAAACCCTCTTAAAAACCTACAAGATGAAAAGCAGACCCAACAATTAGCTCATTGTGCCTCCTACCTCCCGTCAGCTCCATGGTCAACTTCTCGTTCTCGATCATCTTCTTTTTTTCCTCCAGCTCGGCGATTAGGTTCTCCTTCAGCTCCACCTTCTTATCGTCAAACTCCTTGACTGCGGCCTTCTTCTCTTTGATGTAATTCCGTTCCACCTGATCGGTCTATAACAGAGAGACGCATCCTGAATGCTCCCCCACCACAAATCAGACGCCCGGATCGGGTAAGGGGGTAAATCGCGATTTGTGGCTGGGTCTTCACTTAAACTGCTCACAATGAACTTTTAACTTGGTGGTGTGGAAGTACACAACAACATCACAGCAAGTCTGTAGGGCAAAGCAGGCAGAGAGAGACTAGAAAACACTACAAAAAATTTACAAGCACATCACGTTACAAAGGGCTTGGTTCATTCCCAAAATGAAGCTAAATCAAAAAGCATATGCTGGTACGCAATAAAATGTGGGGTATAATCAAAACAATCTTACCTCGAGCTGGAAAAAAAGATCTGGAGAGAAAGATATAACAGATCAGATTAATTCTGCAGGGCACTCTTTGGTGGATATTATTCAGCATCAATGGATAATTACTAGTCAGGCTGTGCACCTCTCTTGAAGGCTATTCAAATTTTCATCAGACTTACTGCTCCAATAGTCATCAGCACAGAATTAATTTTTCTGATGGGTTACAGTAGAGAAGCCAAATCTAAAAAGGCATGCATCTAGCTGCCTCGCGGTGCCCCCTGGAGGCACAGGCAGGCCCTGCATCACCTGCATTTCGAAGCCGCTCCTTGTATTGCTGATCCAGCTTCTTCATCCTCTTCTGGTACTCCTGCAGCGTGCCTGAGAGGAAAAGCCATCGTGTCTTAGTAAGAAGCTGCTGATTGCCCTTCATGTTAATTATGTATCATCTCCGACAATTTGACTAAGTTGTAAATTGCTACTTTGGAACAAAGTCTATACGATGCGAGAAATGTTTTGTCAATTTTAAATCATAAGTTTTAGATTGTGACAATTTAACAAGTCAGTAATCAGGTAACTGATACGCCTGATGTGCTGAGCAGCATTAACTCTATGTATTGCTGAATTCGGAAAGGGGGGGGGGGGGTCTTAGTACAGGTATTTCTCCCATTACCTTCCTGGAGCTGCTGCAATTGTCTTTTCAGAGATGCCAATTTTTCTTGGTACATCCTTTAAAAAAAAGATCACGGTTAAGCACTGCTTGATCAACAGAGTCAGGGATGGGGGAGGTTATATAATCTACATATACACATACAAACAATGAACTCAGTACAGACATTATTTGATCCAATTCAAAGAATAACCCTTGGGTTAAGCTACATAAAATCAGGGATGTAGGACGACCTGCCCAGAAGACCCCCATGGTCAATGCCACCCAAATCTGTAACGCCCCAGTTACACAAAGCGCTTGGCAGGAATCCCTAGTTGGCAGCCCGATCCATCAAGCGTGGCAGTAGATCCTGGCGCTCTGTAGCCACCCCCATTGAAAAAGCCCACTCCAGATTTTCAGATTCACCCAACTGGAGCACAGCAGGTTGGGATTATGCCTTTAAAGCATTTTAGGAGGCTGAAACCATCACTCAGAAATACAGCTCACCTCCATCACCCTTTTCTACAGCCATATATTTCACTGGGCCAAATCGTAAAGGACCTTATCAAAGCTATAACAGGTTTTGCTGGTGAGTGTTACATCACAAATTCATACCCTTCACCACCACGCTAGCTGCTGTTTCTATGACATGTTTTGGCAATCTGCTTCAAAAGGGGACGCACGTTCACTGGGACATGGCCACTTACTGCTCCTTTATTTCCACATAGTCTTCGTCATCGTGCTTGGCCAGGTCAGTCTCGCTGGCATCCTCCGTGTCTGCCAAAAGAGATGGGAGTGTCAGGGAACTTCATCTCGGTCAGTCTGCTCTCATTTTCTATGGAAAAGGGACCCACTCCGACTATCCCTCCAGAGACTTCATACCGTTAGCCTGGACAACACCGGGTCAATGGAAACAAACTGCGGCGAGGAATTTGTCAATATCTTAAGGCTCAGAGCTAAAGAGATTATATTCAAATACACTGTTTTACTTGGATCAAATCCCTCAAAGGACTTCGGGAGACCGGGCCGACAGCGGACGCCAGGCTCATTTCACACAATAATTTCCCTAAGATTAGAAACCATCAAATCAAAGAGGAAAATCCTCACGACTGAGCAACCGATCAGCAAAAACACGGATTACAAAACGCAGTAGAAACGAAAGCGATTAAATATTTCCGTTTTTCAGTACAAACGGCGAGGAACCACGAACTCCAGTTACCTTCGGCGATAATGTGCATTTCCAGCAACTCATCCGCGATCGCCTTACAACACAGAACCAGCGCACATTTTATAAGCGGAAATATCCTTCTTAGATACATTTCAATAGCTCGATCTGTCCCGCTTCATCATTATGAACCCATGATAAGGAACACGGCGTTAACTGTGCATGTACACAAACGCAATTTTACAGCCAAATATATTCATAATACGTTACATAACACATTCAGAATACTTAATCGGCACGTATTTTAGTCAGGGTAACAGTCTGAAACCTATGCTTCACGGCATCAGGAAGCATAAATGCCATTAACGAGGCAGGCACCGATATCTATATATAGGTACAGCATGCGGCACGTATAGAAGACGCAGTTAAACAAGGTGCAGTATCTTACAGTTTAATGCACAGCCTTCGTCCGGTGACATGATAACGTCAGATCGTCAGTAATGTCTTCCCAACGAAGCCAGAGACGACCATTTCAGCTCAGGACGGCGGTGCCACTTATAGCACTAGCCTTGCATTAAAACTTATTTAACTAACAATCGGCTTCACGGTCCGTCATGCACGGTTTTTCTGGGATACACACTACTGCAACGAGCTAAAAAAAAGGGGTAGCAAACGAAATGGTGTCACGCACGTTTGCAAAGCCCGATCTCCATCTACCATCCTGCCTGCGACGGAAAGGGGGATTTAAAAACTAGCGAAAGCCGCAGAGTCATCACGCAATGCAGGGATACGGTGTCTCCACGTTACCTTTACTAACCATAGTGCGCGTTAAAAGGCTCCAAAATCCATTCGTGGGAAAATATCACTTCCTTATTAGTTATTTAGCCAGCAATCAATGTTAATAATAACAATACAAAAATAAAGAGACAATGCACACGCCGCAGTGCATTAAGGTAGGTAGTTAGGGTGTTGATTCAAAATGATGATAATAATAAAGTAAGGCGTTAAGCAGATAAGTAAGGCGTTTAAGCAGCCCACCCAGTACCAGCCACTTTGACCAGTTACCGGTCACACGACACTAAGGTTTGTGGAGACCGGTCACGCCTCCAATGCATTTGACAGACAGCAGCCGTATCCAATAGACGCGAAGCTCCCGCAGCCTAAAAGCCAATGGCAGCTTCGCTCAGCCTCCTAACACAGGTCAGTTCCGCCTCTGCTTCTTTTCACGTTTACATTTCAGAACGCTACGTTACAGGGTTCTAAAGCTCATACTTCTGGGAAATATATTTAATTTCTTGTTCTTACCGATGTGGTGTTTCCCAAGAAATCACAAGTCCCTTACATTTGGCAACAAGAAAGATGTAATTTTGCTAAGTTTATTAAAGAAAACGAGAAAGTAAAACGAAGCTATTTTGTACTGTCAAAAAGCAGTAAAGTTCCACAACATATCACGGTCTATGACCATTTAAACCAACAAACTAAATTAAAAAGATGCCTGACTATTTGACTGTACCACGCCCGCACTCCCGTGCCATTCTTATGCCAGTGTCTATATTGGTTAAACACCGTTAGGTACAAAACACCCAAACTCTACAGTCTTACAGGATTTTAAGCTCCACACTGACTAGCTGACGAGTTAACTAGAGTCACAATTCAAGGGTCAGGCTGGTTCATCATATATCTAAACGATGCTGTGCAAAACAATCTAAGGTAGCGGTCAGAAAGATCAACGATTTCCAAAACTCAGGAACGCAAGTCAAGTTTTTTTATTTTAAACCGGGCAGCCGGTAGTACTACTGTTTGGCTAAGCGGTCGCCGCGCTCGACGGCTAACTATACCTTCCTCCGAATCTCTCCCTCTGAAACTCCGATCATCCTCATCCTCCATACTGTCAAGATCCTCCTCATCGTTGTAGTAGTCCACCACGGGCGACAACAAAGTCGAAGCCATTTTACTTTGTTTATCAATATTATTATTTTAAATAAAGGATGTAAACAACACCCCATAAACCGTATCTATTCAGAATATATGCATCTTAAAACAACAAAAAGAAACAGCGCCCCGAACTACCAAGGGTCCTCGAGTAGGCGTTCCGATATTTTGCCTGATGGAAAAAAAAGAAAAATGATATACTTTTAAATTCTCATTTCCCCTTTTCTTCATTAAATATACACTGCATACAATTTTTCACTTTTATTTTTTTCTTATATTTTCTAAAGTTACTTGAAACGAATGTACATTAAAAAATTTAAAAGGCACTTTAAAGGAACATCTACTGCATGGTACTCAAGTAGAATACGCATTTTTCATCATGTTCCCGCTTCTTTTTCGCTATTAATAAAAACCAAAACAAAGGGAGTATTACCTTATGCTGAATATGAACTTATGAAGAGATATTTTAACATATCATTAAGGACAATTTGTTATTTTATTTGAACGTTGCCTATCTGTCATGGGGTTCCATGGGAACTGTAGTTTACTCTTCCAACTTCCAAAAAAATTATAGTAAATATTGTGAACATGTTAATTTTGCTAAATATTTCATGTATTCACATACACGACGTACGGTTTAGGAAAACATCCCGTCCTACAATATTTTACATTTACACAATATTCTGATCACCTCCTTTTATATTGTAGGCCTATCAGCTAAATAAAGCGAGCATGAGATAGAGCGATCACGAACAAAACAATGAACTATGAATTTGTGTTGTATATGTAATTTTAAAGCACGTAACGGATATGAAGAGGTTGAATTAATCGTTTTAAATTGTACACCCATATCTATAATTAAATAAGCGATACTAAATATTGACAGCAGGTGGCAGTAGAACATAAGTGTCCAGCTATTGACAAACTGCTGTTATTTCACCTGTATGGTGTTTTCATCCGATGTGGTCATACCTTAATATTTGGAAAAAATAACAATCCAACCTTTGTTAAGAAAACAATACAATTTTATAATTTTCCAAAAAGTATTTCGACAATTAATGTTTTGTATATTTATTTCTAGATTTATTTGATGATTCAGTGTCTTTATCGCATACTTATAAAAATAAACGTCTTGAAAAGGAGTCGAATAATCAATGATCAGTCATTTTATCAGTACACTAAATATAGCCAGGAAAGCCTGGAAACATTTTACAGCTTCCTTTTTGCTAGTCATTATACAACAAAAAGTAGATGGTTTTTAAAACCGTACGTCGTTTTAAATGGTAAATTGAGATCAAATCGACCTCAGCTTTACTTGTGCGTTGGACTCTTCGGAATTAGATGGGGGGGAATTTGTGGATGATTTCAGCCTCATCCCCAGGCAATCCACACGCCTATGTTAGCCATTTGCTGATTGCGACGCGTTGCATGAGCAGCCCCGCTAAGTTTGAGAGCATAAGCCACCGGAGCAGCGTGTACGCTAACGTTTTTATTTATTTTTTTCCAAGATGCATTGACAACTGGCAATGATAAGAGCAAACGCGACGGACGGAGTCCCGTTTCAGCCTTAAGAGTCGCAGGAGGCAAAGTAATGGTCCTCAAACGTCTTAACTAGTTCGCCTGCTTGTCTTTTCTTTATTTCCGTCTGAAAGCCGCTGTCACGGCGTCGCAGGGCCCGTGTGCAGTGGAAAAAAAACCCCTATCTACGGTTCAGCCAGGAAGTCAAACTATATTTTTTGAAAGACAAATCGAAAGTCTCAATTGCCGCAGGCGGACTTCATGTTTTTTGGAGAGAAAAAAAACGTGGGCTTCCTACAAGTGAAGAGACAGAAGACGAGTGGTCAGTATGCGTTTTTCCTTCTTTTTCTCGCCCCCGAAAGATTTTTAAGGGACAGAGTAAATAGTACAATGTGCAGTGGCTTTTGTATTAAATACCAGCGTTGAGCGAACTGACGTTTAACTTTTTTTTTTTTACGTCGTGAACTTGGATGAGGGGGGGAGAAGAGAAAATACAGGAACAGCAACATGAGGTTTAGGGCGAAATCATTAAGGCTGTTGAAGATGCCATCATTTATTTCTTTTAAGATATAATGTCGGGGTCTGAAGCCTGATCTAGCCGGGTCAGTCCACCCGGAGACGCGTACCCTGCCGTCGGGTTAACGGATGCCTCATCGAGCCAGGGGGGGTGGTTGTTTGCGGGGTATCGGAGACTAAATACTGTATTTTCAAGAAGGACGCAGGTTTTAGTCTACTGTCCAGCGATTTCTTTGGTTGGGCTGTAGACGGCGGGGGTAGCTTTGGGGGGTGGAGGGAACGTGTTTATTTACTGCACCTGATCCTCCGAGGTTAGGGACGCGAACGACGCTGAAGTAGGTATACGATATCCGCCCGGAAAATAATCAAATTAAAAGGAAACCCCCCCTCCAAAATAAGCAACACACGCCGATCTTTGCGAACGACTGGCGACTCTTGCTGGCCGCGAAGCTGGAAATTCCCATTTATAATGAAATCGCCTAATAATGAAGAAGGCGGCTGTCAGCCCCGGAGTGCCGACAAAAGGCTGCCGAGTTTATCCTGTGAGTGCAGAAGTGCGTCGTCCCCTTGTTTCTCAACGTGTGTGAATATAGAATTATTTTTTTATTAGGTTTAACTAGTCGAAACCCATGCAAATAACGATCTCCGGGCGTTTGGCCTTGTTTCAATTAAAATTTCATTGCCGGGTTTCTGTTTTGCTGGCAGGTTGTAATATAGGATATCCGCCCCGTAAGCCTCTTATTGCCGCTGTTTGACCAAACGCGAGCTTCCTCTTGCAGTTTGTGCGGCGTCTCTTCTTCCCCACAAATGCTTTGTCCGCGCTATGTTTTGTTTTCCCCCTTGCCGTTTTCCCAGCTATTATTATCACTGTTATTATAGTTGTTATTAATGATTAATAGCTGCCTGAGCGCAGCCGCCTGTTGTGCGCCGGTATGCGCTCCTTCTGTCGTCCCAGGTCGTTTGTCGCGAAAAAAAAACGCAGGAAAAATGTTTAAATTTGGGAATAAAGATAAGTAATATATAGGTAGAGCCTATTGACGACTGACTTGTGCAATTTCGTGTTGCATCGCGACAGCGCAAAGATTATACCTCCCCCCTTTGCCATGTTTCAACAGCTTGACATGACTTCAGCACATGGTCCCGCGAGGGTTATTTTTTAATATATTGCATCGGCTCTCCTTTTTAAAGCTCGGTCTAAGTAGCTTAGTCAGTTCGATGGCCGGGGTGTCCGCCGTAGGTGACGGGGGAGCGGGGATCGGTGCCGGGGGGGTTCCCGTTCCCCGGCTGGCGCTCGGCTCCATGTGGACACGCTGCCCGGTCCGGCGCCGGACTCCCGTAACCTCCGGCAGACGCACTTTGAGCGGCGCACCTGTCCGCTTCCGGAGGGCTTTAACGTCGGAGCGAAGGCGTTAAAAAGGGCGTCGCGGCCGGCGGCTTTATCTTAAGGGATTGTTTTTCTGCCAGTTGATCCGTAAAAGTCAAGATCGTAATCTTCCCGGTCGCTTGAAAGGTAAATGACAACCTTCGCCTTTGTCTTTAATCCGTAGGGAGGGCAATGCCGTGAACGACGGTCCTTATTTATATGAAAGCGGGAATTAAATAAGGAAATAAAACAACCTGATGTATAAGGTGCGAATATCGCTTGTGTCTTTTGCTGGATGTTTTGTGATATTTTACTTTGTACGTTGAATGCTGCTCAGCTTGGGAGTCGAAAATGTTTTTGTCGCTTGTTTAGCTGGTAGAGCTTCTATCTAGGGCATTCCAATGTTTATTGTATCAAGATTTAATAATTAATGGACATCATGAAGCCAAAATACCCTTTACATAGGAGTATTTATTGTCGTTTTGCTGTCGCTTAATTGTCTTCCCGTGTTACTTCTTGATATTGAAATGAGCAGAGATTCTCTCGCTTCTTTTTCTTGAAAATAAGTGTGAATAAGAACGTTAATATTTTGCTGGGTGTCTTGAAGGGCATCGTACAAGGCTGTGACACCTGTGGGCTGAAAGTATCTGCAGAACTTGGGGAAGGAGACTTGGGGGCATTTTTGCATTTTTGTTCCTGTGTGACGCTGACATCATAGTTATTTATAATACTGACCACCACTGAAGCAAGCCCGCTCTGAGTGAGTTGGGGGGGGGGGTATTGTATGGTGAGGAGAGAAAAAGGACAGAACAGAAATGGAAGAGATTTCACCATCCTAACATGACGGACATGCCATTGCTGGTTTGCATGAGGATAGTACAGTAGCAAAATGTCATCCTGTATGGTCCTGACTCAGTCACTCATGGCCGGGGAGGACGTAGGAGGCTCTGATACCCAGCAGACAAAGACTGAGGACAAAATCCAAAAATGTCACTGTGCTGGTCTGGGCTGTAGGTTTTCACCTAGAGGGTGGCATTTTGTTCATAAGAGGTGTCCCCTTCAGTGGGTGAAACTGACCGAATGGTGTGGGGTCAAACTGGGGACTGAAGACATGCAGAAATGCTTCCGTCGCGCCCAGCTGGGGGTCTGTCTGCATCTGCGTGATGATCACCGGATGGGGGGCAGCCAGGCATGGTGTGACCCACCTGCCGGGCCCTAAGAGTCTGACCTCAGCTGTGGCTGCAGTCCGGGTTTCCGTTCGGGTTCTGGGGTCACTGTTTTGTTCCCATAACTGCTGGCTCTCCTTCCTGCCTCAGTAACGTGCCAGAATCTCTCAACAGCTGCTCCGTTCCCCATAATTCTGAGTAACACCTTAAACACTGGCGAAGGAGCAGCGAATTAAAACACCGTCTGAACTGTTACTATATTCAGCACGCTAGCAAATGGCATCGGATCTTAAATGGACTTCGCCGGGTTCTGCCTCTGCAATGTATCGCGGTCAGACGTGGTCCAGGTTGGAAGGTTAGATCATACCTGATGCTTAATGGTGACAAGGAGATGCACAAACTGGGGCGTGTTGATGGGTTGGCCTCCTCTAATCATCTAAACACTATCACCCCATTGGCATAAAATGGACTGAATTAGGCAGGTCAGTTCAGCTTTCGGGAATCTATAGTAAACCGATAATCATGGGTCTGTGCTGATAGTCTTTGTGGGGCAGCCGGGCTGAAGTTGTTTGCATTGACGATTCCTGCGACGTCATCTTGTGTGTGTTGCTCTGCTTTTGAGCCCCTCCCAGTTTTAATGCTGGTGATGCGGAGGCAGGTAGAGGTGTCCCGGAGGGGGGCGGAGGCCCCAAGCTTAGGGCAGTGCGCTCCCTGATTTCCCCCCGGCCGAGAGCAGACTTTGCTGATTGGCCACGGCCTTTTTGTGTTCGGGATTGGTAACCAATCATGGATTTCGAAGCTGGGTTTGTGGCCGCCCTGGCAGCTTTCGCTCAGTGACGGGGGAAATTACCAGGCGGGTTCTCTACCCACCCACCCATCTCTGCCACTACAGACAAAATAAGTTCTTTTTGGGCCGTAGGATCTTAAAGTATAGCGGGCTCGTTTTCATCGGCCCCTGTGCTGCGTTGCTGAGCATGTATTTGTGCTGACATCGTGTACACAGACATCCCGGGATGTTCAGGTCGTTCAGGGTGGTGGGCTTGAGCTGGGGCTGTCCCTCCCGCCTCTTTGCCCCAGCCTGCACGCGTGTGCGTGGGACTCAGCCCTCTCTCCTGAGGGAGGCATTTTTGGCAAGTTGATCTCACTGGGTGTGGGACACAGTGCAAGGAAGTTAATTACAGCCCTCTGTACAATATGCTTCAGATTTTTTGGGTTGGAAATTGCAGCTGTGATTTCCTCCCCCCCACCCCCAAAAAGGGCAACACCAAGCCTGTTTTCTGTACTCCTCCCCCTTTCCATGGATACTAGTAATTTTTTATTTTTATTTTTTATTTTATAAAACCAGTGTTCTTGTGACATGTTTTTTTAGCCTGGTGTCCTGTCTCTAAAGTGGCATATTGGTGACGCTTTGATTTTTAACATTCCGGCAGTTTTTCGGGGGGGGGGGGCTTGGAATGATGCGGGCTTTCGGAATTAAAGCCTGTGTCGTTTGTCTTTGGCCAGGTCAGCAGAAGGCTGCTCGGCCTCTTTTGGTTGCCTTTCAGCTGCATGCGGGTGTGCTGTGCTTCATCGCTCGATAACATCAGGCTCTCGGAGGCCCTGTTTTCCGTTCTGTCCGGCCTTGAGGAATGAAGCTCTGCAGAACATGGATCTTTCTCTGGAAGTGAGGATGACAACTCGTTCTGGTCCATTAGAAATTCTCAGTGTAGGATCTCTGAAATCCCAGCTGACTAGGTAGGTCAGGGGAAACTCCATTAGCCCCTTAATGAGTGAGATGGAACCCTCTCTCCAAATTGACCAGACAAGCCCAGAATGCTTATGCTGAATTCATTTCCTAGCTGTTGCATATTTTGGAGGGAAAAAGTCCCCCTCTTCCTGACTTTGGAGTGACTGCAAACTTCCCGTAAAGGGATAGTATGTTTCTACTCGCCACACTTCTGCAGGCATATCTTTGGTATCATCACCTCCATGCAGAACCAGTCACCTAAACGCCATTACATCGACGGCCAATTAATCTGGCTCCCTCTCTCCCTCCCTCCCTCCATTCCTGCTTGGGGCCACGTTCCTGAGCAGGAAAAGCAGGTAACGTCTCTTCTCAGCAGGCCTGCCTTAACACTAGTCAACCTCTCTTCTCTGCCGCTTCTGTCAAAACAAGAAAGACGTAGAAGCGGAACAGAGAAGTCCTGGTGCTCTATTAGGGCCGGTCAGTCCGACCCGTGTCCCAGCTGCCTGCCCTCCCAAAAGAAGCTGTATAGCCAGATAAAAGTAACAAAAGAG